TTAGCGATTTTAAACTTAAAATTAGGAATATAAAGTCCAGATTTTCTCATGATATTTTTCTTCACCGCCAAGTTGATAGGTTGTAATTAAACTGCAACAATACGTAAGTTTCTATAAATTAATAGAGCATTGGTCGTATGTAACCGCTGACGTGTGATTGGCCGTACGTGTGACAACCACAGCATAATTTTCAATGAACGTGTCGTTAATTCCCGCTGAAACGCATTTCACGGGCCGATTAATTGAAGTTGCGGTGATGGTAATATGACCTTTAAAAAGCTCATTAATAATTTAACGGATAACGGTTTTAATTACTAGTACCTGGTTGACTGAGTTTTGTTTGGTGTTTATTTTAGTATGTACATATTTTGTTTAGAAATAGAACAAAAAAAAATAAGAATAAACAGATAACATCACGCCTTTTAGCCCCATAACTGTAGACACAGGTGCACATTACGGCACTTAATTCCACTGTACAATGTAACACCCACTTTTACTATTTATGTTATGAGTCCCGTGTAACAGGCGGTGAGCTCATTGCCATATACCGGGTGCAATTTCAGAATTCGTGCTAATATTGAGATTTTTTTAAATACCCAGTAATAGGGCCTGTGCGACTGAAGGGCCTTTGCCCTTGCACTTGCGACCACTCGGTCAACGAGGCAGTTTAGCAAATATTATGTGATTTCAGAAAATCTAAAAAATCCATTGACAAATCCAGCAGATTCCGTGCCACTACTGAGAATTAAAAAAAAACAGTAATACTTTGTCCGACCTGGGAATCGAACCAGACCCCTTGCCCAGCAGCCACACTTACCACCATTTTGGCCAAGGAGCAGCTGCAAGCAATATATTTTTTAACTTAATCATTTTTCCACTTCGCTTTTTACTAAAGCAGAGCCCGAAAGAATACCCAAAGGCATAACTATAAAACTCTGGCAGTCTCCCTTAGGATCGCAACTAGATCGTATCACTTTCTTCGTTGGAACTCTTAATGCCAGAGGACAGGGAAGGTGAAGAAAAAGTAACACTATGACCTCTCCCTAAAGAATATGACTGAAGTGTTAGGCAAACAAATGTACCGACAATGTATAGATTTAGAACAATTGTGTATTGTTGGCCTCTGTTCTGTTTTGTCTCCGTTTCCATGCAAAGCTATTAGAAAATATTTTTTCGGTTATTCAACTCCAAAATTCTTAATAACATAGCATAACATAAAGTCACGCCTTATATCCCCGAAGGGGTAGGCAGAGGTGTACATTACGGCACTTCATGCCACTGTACAATGTAACACCCACTTTTCACTATTTATGTTATGAGTCCCATGTAATAGGGGGTGAGCCTATTACCATATACCAGGCACAATTCCAGACTCCGGGCTACTACTGAGATTTTTTGAAAAGCCCAGCAACACTTTGCCTGGCTCGGGAATCGAACCCGAGACCCTTTTGCCCGGCAGTCTCAATTGCGACCATTCGGCCAACGAGGCAGTCTTTTATCTTAATAAACTGCACGGAATACTATAAGAAAAATGTATGTAAGTACATAATTTGAGAATTAGCATCTATTAACGAATTTACCCACTTTCCCAGGATAAAAAATAACCTATGTGTTTTTCTAAACTCAAAGGAAACGACTAACTGACTACTTGGAGCCGTCTTTTTTATCACCAGATGAATTTTAACTGAGGGATAACATCGAATATTTGACAATTCTTCCATACCAAAAACTGTCAAACGCCAATTTTAAAATAGTTAAGAGTTAACTGATGATTGAAAAACCATCCGAGTGAATCACTTGACTGACTCACTCACAGATAACACACAGTCGTAACTATAGTAGTTAATGTTATGGATTTCGGAAGTCGAAACTTATCAGGTATATTATATTCCTACTAGTGGTCAACGGAACACAAAGAAATTATTTACCGTAATTCACACGGTAATGGTAAAAACGGGAATCGCCTTACAAAGTCGATGGCTATAAGTGCCATGTAAAATCTATGACAAAAACACATGTGTCGGAACTTTTGAAACTCTTTGTTACCTTTATTCCAATTCTTTGTTTGGCAATCACGCTAAAAGCCGAGCGAGAGGCACAGCATTGATCAAACTTTCCCACATCCCATAGGAAACGGATCAGCATATGTATTACATTGCCACACGTTTTGAGGACAGAGTAGTAATGAGACAGAGTATATGTTTCGAACGTGTTACTTTCATTGTTTTTCACCAAAACCATAGTGGTATCTTACCATATATTATTTAAATCTTCTGGAAAATGTTCCAGTTCCATGCAATACAGGTGAGCTTTTGATAAGAACTGTTTAAAACTAGTAGAAGATCGAATCTGATATTTAATATTAATTTGGAAGCTCCTCGCGAGTGGACACTGTTCTGGACACTCTATGGAATGTGGTAACATTGATAGCTAGTATAATTCATACTCTATGCCACGTCCCTTCATAGGGTTAGCGGATATTAGTATGCCTCTCACGTTCGCTGTAGAATTGTTGCGATGCGTTAAAGGATATCCACCGAACAGCATATAAATTCATTTGTTATATATGCAATGGACGGTACTTTTATATCGCATCGTTAGTCTTTCTACTAAGTTCGATTATATGCTCGTTTGACGTTAAGCTAAGGATTTTATTTTTTTGTTTTTGAAAGGTTGCCCCACTCTAATGTTTTCTCCTGTGTCGTGGGTGCGTTTACAAACATACAAGTTCACATACACGTGACACCCAGAGCCGGAACAACAATTTGTGGATCACACAAAGAGTTGTTCCGTGCGGGAATCGTACCCGCGACACGTAGCTTGGCAGCCAGCTGCCCAGCCGCCGCACTGACCGTGTTGTCAATAATGAAATTATTATAATTATTATTAAACCGGTTTTGTTTGATTTCTCTTACCGTCTAGTGCTGTTTTAATGTTTTTAACCGACTTTAAAAAAGGAGGAGGTTAGGTATGTTGCTTTTTTTTGTATATATGTACGCGCATAACTCTGAGATGCGTGAAGCGATTTGCAAAATTCTTGTTTTGTTTGAAAGGGTATACTCCCGAGATGGTTCCATTTCCATGAAGTCAGGATCTGATGATGGGATCCTAGGGAAACCGAGGGGAACTTTCGAAAATTCTATGAGCGAGTAATGCGTCTATTATGTTTTTCAATTACGATTTATAAACACTACAATTTGATAAGGGTCTAGAGTCGACCTGATGATAGAGCCGACAGACAGTCGAGGGAACTCCTCAACGGTTTATAACTACCTTGTGTTTGGGCTTCATTAATTTGTATTGATGAGAACTTTAGACCTAGATAGAGTGTGGCTGTCATTAAGGGTCTGATGATGAAGAAGTGTAATTGTTAAGGGAACTCCTCAACGGTATACAGTAACTACCTTGTGTTTGGGCTTGATTAATTTGTATTGATGAGGACTTTGTACCTGGATAGAGTGAGGCTGTCATTAAGGGTCTGATGATGAAGAAGTGTAATTGTTAAGGGAACTCCTCAACGGTATACTGTAACTACCCTGTGTTTGGGCTTGTATAATTTGTATTGGATTAGAACTTTGCACCTATGTAGATTATAAGTAACAAAGCGGGTATAATTATGTATCTTTACAATGAAAATGATAAAAAACTGCGTTTGATGTTGTAGGTTTTTGTAAGTACCTACTAATTTTAAATTCGAATGAGCTATGGTATTTATTACTGTCCTCCTCAAACAGTCACTTTTTGGTTGAAAATAAAATGTATCAAAGAGTAATATTATGTATAGCATTATGTATGGCAGAGACGATTGTGTCAATAACATACATGGACTTTTCTAGTCTGCTATGATGAACTATGTAACTAAAGAATTGTATTGTGAACTTGATTGAAAAAGAGTAACCTATGGAGTTTCTTCTCCATAGGAATCTACACCTTGGAATGAGCAAGTAGCTTCTCTTTTATTTTTTCTGTTGACGTTGAAAACACGTTTAAGTGTTATTTTTGCACTAGTCGGATGTGGGATGAAAAATCAATGTAGTCAAAGTCAAAGTCAAAGTCAAAGTCAAAGTCAAAGCCAAAGCCATTTATTTCAATTAGACCAGGGTGCTTGCTCTTGAAACCAATATCAATGTCAATGCAATTTCAATCCAATAAAATCTCAATAATTATTCAACGTCAAAACAATACAATCCCTATCGTAGCTATTGAAATAGCATTCATAGCACGGAATATAAAGCTGAACTTAATACCATTTAGTTCATTAAATATCCACGCAATACGGATGCAATGGGCGCTATTGTTGCAACCCGAGAGTACGAAATATCACAATACCAATATCGATCGATTGGAATTAGAATCAAGAGTGAGCTCCCTGGTCTGATTGAAATAAATGGCTTTGACTTTGACTTTGACTATAATTATATATATTTTTTTTTTATATTATATTTTTTTATATAATAAGGCACGATGCAGCATAAATAAAATAAAAAAAGACAATCAAGATGTGACAGTGGAAGTAATAAAGATATAAGAGTTGAAAAATTGAAACAGAAGAATTAGAAAAGAGACGCTGACAACACGCCTATGCTAAAAGGGTCACCCACTCAGTGTAAGCCAGCCATACAGGTTACCCAGCACTGATTTTCAGTGGGCACCCATGCAGTGACGCACGGATGGTAGCAACGTTGTATGGTTAGACAAAGACAAAAAAATAATATATATACATATATAATAATGCATCTGCACACCTGCCACATATTGATTTTTCATCCCATTTTCGACTTGTGCAAAAATAGCATTTATTTTTTATTTAACCCTTAGACTGCCATGTCAGTCACCGGTGCCTGACGCTAGTGGAGGTTTGACTTTCATCGTTTTAAAGTTGGCAGTTAAAGTATTAACCAGGTTTCAGGATTTCAAAACAAGACCCCCGATTTTAATTAACTCAACCCCATATTTTAAGATACCTACCTAGATAGGCCCAGATGGAATAAAAGAGTGGACTGTATTTCTTGGTTTAATAGGTTTTCTTGAGTAGGCTATTAGTACAAGTTAAATTCGCAATCCCGTCCGTTCTTGCTCGCGTTGTCGTCAGGTGTGTATGGAGGGCGCGCGAGCCGTCGCTGCCCCGCCACGCCGCCCGCTCCCCTCTGCTTGAGATGCATGCATGTGTGTCTGCATGTGCGTGCGTGTTAACGTGTGCGTTAACATATTCCCGGGCGACCAAGGAAAGGCCAGCCCAGGTGATGATGATGTATGATATTTCATTATCAGTCCGATGGTACATCCAGTAATGGGCATATTTTATGAAAGGCACGTCTGATTGTCCCGGTCTTTACTCTGATGTCCGCCACTCGAGCTTCTCCGTCATGTCCCGGATACAGCTTCACGATACGTCCCAATGGCCACTGAGCCACCGGTAGCGCCTCATCTTTCACGATGACCAATGAGCCCTCTGTGAGCGCGCCGCGTGAGCGTTGCCAGCGCGTTCGTTGATGCAACTGAGAAATGTATTCCTTATTAAAGCGTCTCCAAAAATGTTGGCGTAGAAGTTCGATTCGGTGATGACGCGGCAGCCGTGCCGTGTCGCAGTCGGACATCTGTGGATGAGGTAGAACAGTTAGAGTACGACCAATTAGAAAATGAAAGGGAGTGAGAGCGGAGAGATCATTTGGATCGGATGAAAGAGGTGTGAGAGGCCTTGAGTTGAGGATGCCTTCTATTTGAACTAGCAACGTGTACATTTCTTCATATGTGAGGTGTGCCATCCCTAGTACTCTTTTGAGATGATGTTTTACTGATTTAACGGTGCTTTCCCATAGGCCCCCGAAGTGGGGTGAATATGGAGGAATGAAATGAAAGTTTACACCTTGTTCTGCAGCGCAACTGTAAATTGACTCACCGTGATTTCTAAGAAAGTTGGTCACCATACGAGCGGCACCTACCAGATTTTTTCCATTGTCTGAATAAATATTATTTGGTTTACCTCTGCGAGAAATAAACCTGTTAATTGCCGCTATGTAAGACTCTGTCGTTAGATCTGTAACCAATTCCAAATGCACAGCTTTCACGGCAAAACAGATGAAAATGCAGATGTATGATTTAACAAGTACACTTCCACGCCCCTTACGGTTGTTGATCATAATTGGCCCCGCGTAGTCGACACCTACGTCACTGAATACAAAATTTGCATGCAATCTCTGTTCAGGTAATTGCCCCATGATAGGTGTTACAGTTTTACCTTTAAACCGTTTGCATGTAACACATGATTGTGTAGTTTTTCTAGCCAAGTTTCTACCGGAAATTGGCCAGAATGTTTGACGTATGTGAGACAATAACAATTGTGGGCCAGCATGTAGAAGTGTAATGTGATATGTTGAGAATATGATTTGAGTTATGTAATGAGCTGAATGCAATAGGATAGGAAATTTTCTATCGTAATTGTATGGCGATTGAGCTAACCTTCCGCCCACACGAATGAGGTTATCATCCCCTATGAAAGGATTAAGTGAATTTAACTTATGTGATGTAGGTAATTGTTTGTTATGTAATAATAATTGATATTCCTCAAAAAATAAATCTAGTTGCACTAACTTCGCTAATTGGTATCTAGCTGAATTAAGTTCGCTAGTAGATAAGGGCATGACGTCACCTATGCGCATCTGTTGACGTTTTTTAATGTTGATTTGATTTAATTTTGTTTGTTTGTGTTTGCAGTAATGAATGAACCGAAGAATGTAAGCTACGATTCGTGTAAGTTTGTTAAAATTAGAATATTTGTAAATGAATGAATTGTTATCAGTTACATGTTTGTGCGTGAGATGTGTTTGAGACCGGACTTCTGGAAGGTCAGATACGCTGAGATGCCCTGGTTGATGAGGCCAGCTGTGTTTATCATCATTCCTTAAAAAGTCAGGTCCTGAAAACCATAAAGGTGTATGGAGTAATTGTTGTGCATTGGTACATTTAGTAATAATGTCAGCTGGGTTTTGTTTAGTTGGTACATAGTACCATGTCTGTGGTTCAGTATGTTTGAGAATGTCCGTGACTTTGTGTTTTACGAATGTTTGTAATTTATGTGTAGGTGAGTTTATCCAAGACAAAACAATCATTGAGTCACTCCAATAATAACACTTACAATTTTTGTTGCGAACGGAGTTCAATATCTTATTACTTAAATTAACACCGGTAAACGCGGCACATAATTCAAGTCGCGGTATGGTAAGTGCTTTTAAAGGAGCCACCCGTCCCTTGGCAACTAACAGTTGAACACTGATACTGCCATCTGATGTATAAGTACGTATATATGCGCATGCACCGTATGCCTGTTGTGAGGCGTCGCAAAAAATATGCAGTTCAATGTAATCGCGCGATGAGTCATTAAATGCTCGCCGAGGAATAGATAAATGATTTATAAAAGATAACGATTCTACGAACTTTGCCCATTGTTGTTGTATTGAAACCGGTATTTCATCGTCCCAGCTGACGTTGTGTGTCCACATCTGTTGCATAATTAGCTTAGCTTCGAGTATGCAAGGGCTAATAAGTCCCAGTGGGTCGAAAATATGACCTATGGTGGATAAGATTGTGCGTTTTGTGATTTGTTTTTGTGATACAAATTCTGAATGTACTGTGTATGAAATTGTGTCTTTGTTAATGTTCCAATAAATGCCTAGTGTTTTAGATGGATCATTTGAGCTCAGATTGAATGTTGTGTCTTTTGAATCATTGAAACCCAGATGTTGTAGAACAGTTTGACAATTAGACTGCCATTTTCTTAGTGGAAATTGATATTTTTTTAATTCAAGAAATACACCTTTGGCGATTTCAAAGAGTAATGACTCATCATCGGTTCCTGTCAAAAGATCATCACAATAAAAATCATGCAAGATGACCTCGGAGACAATTTTGTGATCATAGCTGTCTGAATGATTCTGTGTGTTTTTACAATCTAAGCCTATTTGTTTTATGCAGCGTGTTGCTAAATACGGCGCCGATGCCGTGCCATATGTGACAGTGTTGAGCGTATATGTTTGCAGAGGTTCCGTAGGATTGTATCGCCATATGATTTGTTGTGTTGGGCGCTGATGCTCCATCAGCATCACCTGGCGAAACATTTTCTCAATATCTGATGATATTATAAACTTATGTTGTCGAAATCGTATGAGTATAGAAACAAGATCGTCTTGGACGACAGGTCCTACTAACTGAATGTCGTTGAGTGATAGTTTTGAGGATGTCTTTGCGGAACCATCAAATACTACTCTGAATTTTGTAGTGGTGCTGGTCTCGCGTACAATACCGTGATGTGGAAGGTAGTATACTGGTGAGTGCTGTGTGTTTGTGTTCGTGCTTGTACCTGACTGTAGGTTTGATGTTTTATGTTCTGATTTAATGTATGTATTTTGATGTGAGTGTTTGTTTAAAGACATGTGACCTAGCTGTATGTACTCTGTTATGAAGTTTGAGTACTGTTGTTTGTATGTGGGATTTGAATTCATGCGGTTTTCTATGGAATAAAACCGTCTTTTTGCTTGAAAATAGGAGTCACCTAAACAATCAGGTGACTTTTTAAATGGAATAGTGACAACGAATCTACCATCACTTTGTCTTGTAGTTGTTTGAGTGAAAATTATCTCGCATGCATCTGAGTCGGAAGGATCGTCTACTTGTGTATTAGTTAAACTATCTAGCTCCCAGAAGCGTGATAACTGATCTGAGTTGTTGTTATTGAAAAAACAACTGTTTGCTTGCTTGTTGGTGTTTGTTGTGCAACCTGAAACTAGCCAGCCTAATTCTGTTTCTTGTAAAGTAGGCTGGTTTTTGCCTAATCGAATGTGACCGCTGCTAATTATTTGCCAAAATATGTCTGCACCTAGCAATATGTCAACTGCTGCGGGTTCATAGAACTGAGGGTCGGCTAGTTTTAAATGTTTAGGTATGTTCAAACCTTGTGTATTGATGCGCATGTAAGGTAATGACTGTGCTATTGTATCAAGTACCAAACATGATAAGTTAGTTGTGAATGAACCATGTAATGATTTTATCTGAATTTTTGTGCGATAAAAAATGTTTGTTTGCTGCTGATTTATGCCTGAAACTGTGCCGTGTATGGGTTCGAATGTAAGATTAAGCTTTTTACTCAGACTGTTTGTAATGTAACAGGAGGTACTTCCACTGTCCAGCAAAACCCTGGCTAAGTGTGGTGTTCCATCACCAGCGATGACATGCACTAAGGCAGTGGAAAGTAATACTGATGCGTGTTGTGATTGTGAGCTACTGTTACTAGCGAGTGTGGTGTGCACAGTGTCTTTGGTCGGTCCCTTATGTATGTGTAGCATTGTGTTGTGTTTCTGTTGACAATATTTACATGCTCCTCCACGGCATGACTTTGTTTCATGACCGTTATGCAAACAGTTAGCACAGAAGTTGGAAAACTTGGAAACTTTCTCTATTCTCTTTTCCACGGTCATTTGTTTGAATTGTGAACAACCGAATAGAAAATGATGACCTTTACATAGGGGACAAGAAATGCGAGATTGTTTATCTTTAGCATCTGATTTTAATGAATGCGATTTTGAATCGGTTTGTTGTGTGGTTTTTGTGTCTTCGAGATTTTGTAAAAGCATGAAACGATTACTGAGATATGTCTTTAGATTTTGAAGTGTGGGCTTTTCTACTGTGTCGTTATTGATTGATTCTTTCCAATATCTGAGTGTTGTGATATCTAATTTGGAGGTAATAAGATAAATCAACATTGAATCTACTGTGGGTTCGCCTAGTGTATTAAGAGCTCTGAGATTTTTATTTACTGTATCTAGTAAGTGTCTGAGTGATGTTGCTGATTCTTTTTCAATGATTTGAATGTTGAATAATGCGTGAAGATGATTGTATATCAGCTGATGTGTGTTATTATATCTTTCTGTGATCAGTTCCCAAGCTACCCTGTAATTGTTTGATGACATTTCTAACGATTTAATAACATCGGAAGCTTCACCTTGCAGAGATGCACGCAAATAATGAAACTTCTGAATACTATCTATTGATTTGTTGTTGTGTATCAGTGATTCAAAAGTGTCCCTGTATTCGAGCCAATTGTGATAATCTCCTGAGAAGTGTGGAAGGTCAATGGTGGGTAATTTAATAAATGCTTTGGTTGTGTTACCCTCACTTGGAGTTGGTACAGACCCGTCGACGCCAGCAGTTTCATTTTCTCGCAGCAGATGGATGCCGAGTGCAAGTTGAGATTGATAATCCATTTCAAATTGCTCCCGCTCCCTCAGCTGTTCATCTGAAACCCCAGTAATGTCGTCGATGAGGGTTTGATTTTTATCGAACTCGTTTGCGAGATACTTGTAGGACTCTAGTCGATTGCGTAATTGAATAATATCTAAATCAGACAATGGCTTTTTGGATGTTAATGACTCGAGATAATTTTTAAAAACCGTGACCTTGCCTTTATGACTGGATCTCCTCTTTTTGTATGTATTGAGGTGAGGAATGTCACATTCGTTGGGATTATTTAAAGTTTGAGCTGATTTAGGGTCAGTCATTATTACTGAAATTTGATAAAAGTAACGAACTTAAATTAAATGAATACTTAAATTTGATTGGGGGTGTGGCATGGACCGCGCGACGATCACGTAACCTTACCAGATTACCCTCAAAGAACGCGGCGTCAACTCGTTACGCTGAGAACAAGGTGATGTATGCTGTTGGGGAAAAATAAATGTATTAGAAAGCGATGCAATTATTAAAAGTAACAATTGATGATGGGATCAAACTTCTTTTTTAAAAAACAACTACAAGAAAATTGAGAAAAAAAGTGTAGGGTAGGTGAGAAAAAAATCTGATGCAATAATTGTGAAAAATTGAGTGTAAATATGGACTAATGATAGCTGAATTGATGTTTGGAATTGGGGATAGATGGCAATTAAGCAAGTTCACTGAATATTAGATGATTTTGAATGATTTTAAAGGAATGAATTGGTCGAACTCACGAAACCGCTGCTACCAAACCCTTTGTTCGTCCTTAGCGACTGATGATGTGGCCAGCACTGCTTGTTGCTGTGATGTAGCTCTGCTTCCAGATGCTGGTAGGTTGAATTCGTTGATGCGACGCCTTCTATTTGACCTCCAGCTGATTTCCGGCCGCTTTTGTGGTGGCGTGGCTTGCGATCGCGAGACGTTTTTGCTTTTAACTCGACTAATTACTTCGAAGGACCATAGATAGGCCCAGATGGAATAAAAGAGTGGACTGTATTTCTTGGTTTAATAGGTTTTCTTGAGTAGGCTATTAGTACAAGTTAAATTCGCAATCCCGTCCGTTCTTGCTCGCGTTGTCGTCAGGTGTGTATGGAGGGCGCGCGAGCCGTCGCTGCCCCGCCACGCCGCCCGCTCCCCTCTGCTTGAGATGCATGCATGTGTGTCTGCATGTGCGTGCGTGTTAACGTGTGCGTTAACACTACCTACCTTAATTTTTCTTTTCAAAATTAAAAATAATCTCGCATTGGCACACCGCTTTTTCGCTTTTCTTATAGGAAGATAAAAAAAAGTGAATTAGTATCTGAGGTCGGCCATAAATTAAGTCTTTAAAGGCTATTTTTCAAAAGGCCCCGGTATTTTTCGAAGTAAACGTTAAACGAGTTTTCGTCCCCCTCGAAAAGATATTTGAACTTTTTCTCTGGCTTTTTGTTTTGGTACATTTTTGTTCACTTTTTTACTGGTCCTGGTACTATAGAGGTACTATAACTCATAGATGATGCTACGAGTTGATACTCGTCACGGATAAATAGTACATATTACATTTGTAGCGACATATACGACACATGTCAACAAATAGGCCACGCACATAGACTATTGATGAAAAAAATTCAACGGATGACGTCACAGAAATCCTACATCGTACATATAAGAAAAAAAAGAAAGAAAGGAAAAGGCTTTATTTCACACGCTAAAACAGGTGAAACAACTTTTATCCCCGAAGGGGTAGGCAGAGGTCCACATTACGGCACTTAATGCCACTGTACAATGTAACACCCACTTTTCACTATTTATGTTAAGAGTCCCATGTAATAGGGGATGAGCCTATTGCCATATACCGGGCACATTTCCAGACTACGTGCTACTAATGAGATTTTTAAAAACTCAGTAATATTTTGCCCCACCCGGGAATCGAACCCGAGACCCCTTGCCCGGCAGTCACACTTGTGACCACTCGGCCAACGAGGCGATTTTTCACATAAGTTTGTAAATACATATATTATCTACTAATGTCTGCGGTGAAATGGGACAGTTCAGCATGTGCAAGACAGGGCCTCGCAATGGTAATCTACTGGCCCCTTAAGTGACTCGCGGACGAACAAGCCACCAATCAGACAACAATAAGTATTTAGCAAAAAATACATTAATATGAATTTGAATTA